CTTTCCTCAAGTTCACCAGCTTTCGCACGCTGCATTATAGCCTAGTAGTCATGACAACGGCATTACTTTGCAAAGTTTAAAAGCTGTGATCTTTTATTTAGCCGAAAATCAAACTTTTCGGTTTAATTCAAAATTTAAGTTGTCCCAAATTTGGCTCCTGGGGAGCTAACTTTAAATTTACGAGACGGACATTTTGTTGAAAACCGGAAGGTTCTATTTATTTTACTCTTGGAAATATACCCCAGCCGGTAGGGTTTGCTGGGCAATACATATTGAATTATAAATATCCGATAATTCCATTAATAATCATTAAAAGTTGCTTTGTAAAATCAAAAACAAAAAGCCGCACGCTGAACGCGCGCGGCGTCTTTTCGGCAGCTGCCTAACTTGTAGCCGCTAACATCAAAGCCGCCGCGCGCGCCAGGTGCTGGGGTGGATTCTCATCGACAATTAAACTTGGTCAAAGATATTTATATACAATTCCTAAATTAAATCAATTATCATGTTAATATGATTATTCAACACTACTGCCGTTTTCTCAGAAAAGGCAGTAAGTCCAATTTTTCGAAATATGACAATATTGGTATCAAAATTTTCAGTAGAAAATTCTCTACAACATGAGCTACATATTAATGTATAGAAACATTGTTGTGTGCAATTTCTAAGGATGTAAGTTCCAGTTGAGAAACATTATGTTCGGTTTTGGCCAATTATTTTCTGAGAGAAGGACGTAAGTCCGGACTTACTGCCTTTTCTGAGAAAATCTTGAAAATCTTCTGAGATAAGGAAGTAATTTTGTGGACTTACTGCCTTTTCTGAGATAAATTATCTGTGAAAGGAAGAAGTAGCTGGACTTACTTCCTATAAAAGCATGCTAAAAGCGGAATTTTAGAAAGCGATTTCCCAAAAAGAACATAACTTTACTGCCGATTGATATTTTCGCTTGAAATTTTCAGAATCGATGTATAATTACATTTCAACTTTACTTAAGTGATCAAAATTTTCATTTAGGCCTCAAAAAAAATTTGGTGGCCGATTTTCAAAAACGCCAGATGTATTTTATTCGCAAAACATAAACATTGGAGCAGTTATTGAGCTGTTATTATCGCAGAGAATGTTTAGTTTAGGTATATCTTTTAGATCAAGTTCATTTTCATCAAAATATCGATAAGATATCATTTAATTCACTGAAATCATTCAAAATTGGCGAGTTTGCCTAAATAAGGGCATACTATTATTCAAAAACATTTATTATATGATATTATATGGAGCAATTTAGATTTACCTAACTGTTTATATTTTACAATATAATCCAAAATACATAGATCCAAACCTAAAAAATTTAGTAAAAAGCTTGGACTTACTTCCTTCTCAGAAAAATATTGAACAGAGATTTTTCTCAGAAAAGGAAGTAAGTCCAAGTTTTCTCAGAAAAGGCAGTAAGTCCATCCAGTATGAAAAATAAGCTCGATTATTTGGCATAAATATGGTTATATCTAAGCTTATGGACGGCTCAAAGCTTTAATTTTTTTGACAAATTAAAATTTGACTAATTATTGATAACTCAACGTGTTTACTTTTGATCTTACGCAAAAAGTAAGCGGAGAAAAAACCATAAACGCAAAAGTCGCAATATCTTGAAATGGCAAATATGGACTTACTGCCTTTTCTGAGAAAACGGCAGACTATTCAACAACAAATATTTGCCGGCCCATCGATTCAGTCGCCGAAACAAAAATCAAATGTTTGCTTTTTCGTTTCGGGAACTGTTTGAACTCAGCATTATATCCAACTAATCATACTTTATAATGGTTTTTAAAAAAAGTAAAAAGATTTTCCTCGATGGGCCGGCATTCGCAACCGCGAAACATTTTGAGTACGACAAACGATGACACCACCACCAGCCCTTAATTGATAAGTCCATGGGATAAAGTAAGATTTGTAATTTCATATTGCCTATCACCTATCACCTATGTTACTATATACTGCTTCTAGTTACACGCTAGCGATCTCAGTCCCCAATAAACGTGTTATGTGACCCAACAGAAGGGATTGTGGAAGGACACGTACATTTTTCATTAACACGTGCCCTGATTACCCCCTCCGTTGAGCTACGGGGAACGTTGATCGCCAGTCTGTAGTCAGATCGTTAATAAATTTTAATTTAAAATTGATTGCCGGGCGATGGTGTCAGTGAAAGACGTTAAGTTAGGTGAACATTGGTACAAAAATATTATAATATTGCAGTTTATCTCTAAGTTAAAATCACTATTTGTTAAAGTATACGAACAGTTCCATTCAAAAGAACAAAGTCCGAGAGCAGAGAGAAGATTTGGAGACTATACACGCATATGTGGGGTTTAAATTTGGTATTAGTAATTTTAGGGTTCGACCGAAAATGTTGGTCGGTTAGTTTTCTTAATAGGGAGCAGTCACTGTCATTAGAATTATCAGATTAGGAGCAACAATTAGAATCTAATTTGACATATTGTGGCCCAGAAATCAGTGAAACCTGGAATGGCGGTAAAATGCTAGCGCGCCTTAGTCAAAGGTCTAAAGAAGAGAGAAGAAGTTGATCCCTACATAAAAGAACTTCATTCGCTCAAGGTAAAAGAACGTATTGAATTTAAAATACTCTGCTCCATGGGCTAGCACCTTCTTACCTGTCAAACCTTGTTAAGTACAATTCCAGTGGTGGAAGAGATGTGTCTCTTCATTGCCCCATAAACAGTCCACCCAGAGCCTTCTCTTCATCTGCTCCAAGATTATGGAACAATCTTCCTCAAGAAATCACGAAATGTGTAAACATCAAGGACTTTAAGGGAAAACTTAAAGCTCACCTGTTTAGAAAGTCCTTTGATTTGTACTGAGTAACTAATCCTTTATTGAAGGTTAAAATTTAATTAAAATGTTTATCTTATAGCAGGTCAATTTCACGCTATAAATTAAATTATTTTAGGCTATTAGTTTTCAAGGATTTTTGGGCAACATTTAAGATAATAATCTTTTTTTTGCGTTTCACTGTGTCTGCCAACAAAATTGTAGTGTAGGTCGGAAAAGGAGGGTCTATCCTGGGACACCAACATTTTTTGGGTTGGCACCCGGGAGAAAGCTACCTTATTCTTTGTATTTTGTCTCAAGTACTAGAGCATCTTTTTCTTCTCTTTTTTACTGTCTCTACTTTTATGTTACCCATATTGTTTGGTATGACTGTATTGGATTTTCAGATATAATCTTTATCATCAGTTACTGTTCTGCAGTAAACTTCTTCAATCAATTTTTATTGTAGGTATATATTGGAAACTTCAGATTGTTTGTATATTTGGAGTCTATAGAATTTCTATGGATTTTTTAAGGAATTTTTATTGAGTTTTTATAGAATTAGGGAATTTCATTTTTATAAACCTGATTTTTAAATTTGTTAGGCTGTTGAGTTTCATACTGCGATTTCTTGTAGTCATTATCCTTTCCTCTAGTCCTCTGTTAGAAAACCTGCTAACCCTTCTTGGATATCTGCTTGTTAGGTGCATCTGCCTTATTTAGTCACGTTATATTTTACAGTTTTTATCGCCTGTTTTCTGAACAGTTTCTTGTTCCACCTCCGTCTTTAAAGGCAAAGATGCACACTCTCGTTAATTTAAGTATCATTTACAGCTGTGCACAAGGGTTAAATTTAAATTATTTAACCTTTTGGTGCTGTATAAAAATAACATTAATTTATTATTATTATTATTAACTACCACAGAATCTTCTCCTGTCCACTGTACAACTGTTACTACAGAGCATTCCTCTAGTGACCAACCATGCTGATCTATTTTGAGAGATGATAGTGATAACAGCATTACTGCCTTCCGCTCTCTAGCACAAATTACCATTGGTGAAGTATCATAAAGATGATTATTATAGTGCTCTCCCTACCCATCTCCTTGTGACATTACTTTCCCCTTCAGCCTCTACTACTCATTACTGCCTCATCTTCTGGACGTCATTATTTTTAGTTTAGTTGAGGATTCTCAACACCCACTTTCAAATCGAGTAGCCTTGATTTTTATAAACCTGATTTTTAAATTTGTTAGGCTGTTGAGTTTCATACTGCGATTTCTTGTAGTCATTATCCTTTCCTCTAGTCCTCTGTTAGAAAACCTGCTAACCCTTCTTGGATATCTGCTTGTTATTATTTTTAGTTTAGTTGAGGATTCTCAACACCCACTTTCAAATCGAGTAGCCTTGATTTTTATAAACCTGATTTTTAAATTTGTTAGGCTGTTTGGTCAAGGGTTCTATTATGTTGGTCCACTACTATCCCGGGAACGAGTTTCACAAAAAATTCAGGCCCAACAACTTCATGTTCTATTAAATCAATTGGGCATTCACCACTTATCATTAATATTTTTGAATCCACCACATGACCAAAATTATCACTGTGTTCATCATGTTTGCAGCTTCTGATCAGTCAGTTCATCTTTTCATCTACAATTACTTTTTAAAACCTGTACTGACATCAGAATCCTTAAAATCTTAATCCTGATTATGAGTTTTGACTCTTGTATCACCTAATCGACATCAACAATGGCCTTTAAACACAAATTTATTGTGTTGTGGAATTCACTACTCCCATAACTTGTTACAACCCTGCTTGAAGTCAAAGACCTTATTTTTAAGTTCATCTCATTTTATGTGATCATTTTCTCCACAAGAGCAAATTTTGGCAATCTGATCTTAAAACGTCAACAAAGGGGAGATACGCTTTGACTCTTTTAGTTCTCTGACCTTTGCAACCGTTTATTTGAATAACAGTCATGGAATGTTTCAAATCATTACCAAAAACCCCAGTCACCTCACATTTATAAAAATGATGGAAAGCGTTTTGCAATTTAAAAGGCAGAAAACTCCTTCAAAGAATGATTTGAGTACATTTATTTTTAGCACTAGAAACGTTTTTCTGAACTTTAAAAATACAAATTCGACTCAACAACACTGACTAAACATTTACCAGGTTCATAGGACAATGTCATTGATCCTGCAAAAGATTAGATACTGGAATCAAGTAAGGATTTTCAACAAGTTTTCATACTGCTTAGATGCATTTTCCAATCTATACTATTATGTATTCAGTGAAATAAACAACCCAATGGTTTCTCCTTCTTTTGGTACTGCTAGCAGTGACTCTTTCCATATCCGAACAATAGTATATTATGATTGATTTTAACAGAAAAAATAAAAATTTACGTCACGTAACATGCTGAAACATGTGCTTTCTTCGCAGTATTATTTCTACAAAAAAAACTGAATAGATTTCAGAATCTAAGATTGATATTCTTAATTCGTTTCATAAGTTGAGTCAAGAGCTGAAGTTTCTAACACTTAAATTGGGATGCAGTTCTTTAAATATAATATTGTTATGGATATAACTTTTTGTAAATTGGTCATTAGAACTACTGGCACTGTCCGGGCAACAAAAACAAAACAAAAAATCAATACCAATTATCATAATTTATATAATGTTTTTACGTATGATTTTATATTTATATTCAATATTCAATTCACTATACTTTTAAAAAGCACTCCCTACCGTAAAGTTAAAAATCAGTCTAAGAATATTTTAAATAATTAATCCCAAGTATGGGTTAACCAATAGAAATAGTGCACAATATATTATATATGTGATAATTAATGCTACAATTACGATTTACATATTATATGCAAATGATCGTGAAAAGCAACAAATTTCTCGCCCATAGATTAAGTTTCCGCAATACAGTCACATTCTTGTCAGATACAGTAACTGAATGTTGCCTGTGAGTACTTGTTGAGCTGAGTATACACGGGCTGTATTGTACTAGTTGGATACAGACAGTGTACGGGCACTCAGTATTCGTTGTTTTCTTACCTTTCGTCTGTATTGCTGTCAGTGTCGTGATTTGCTTATTGTGTAATGACAGATACTGAGGACAGGGTAAAAGATTTGGTTAGAAAGTTTGAGTTTGCAGCCAGCGTTGTTGAGTCAATCCATCCTGATGTTCATCCTGAGTTCATCAGAAAGAACAGTATTGGTGATGTGATGAATAAGGTAGAAGTGGAGATGGTACAGAGAAGTAGGAGTGGAAGCTGTAATCAGAGTATCATTGGAAAACATGGGAATACTATGAAAAGATTGGAGGTTGTGCATCAAAGTGGAGCAAAATCCAACACTATCGGACCTTCTAGAACGAAGAAAAATGTGAGAAACAAAGTGACCCGTTCTAAAACGCTTAGTTTTAAGAAAGTCAATCTTAGGTCGTCTAAGAATGGATCAGGTCTAACAGTGGAAATTGATGGACCAAGAAATCTCCTTGCCAAGAAAAACTCTATAGACGAAGAAAGTACTGACCCAGCTGAATCTTCAAGGAATCTCCTTGCCAAGAAAAACTCTATAGACGAAGAAAGTATTGACCCAGCTGAATCTTCAAGGACTTTTCTTGCCAAGAAAAATTCTATAGAAGAGGAGAGCACTGTTCGACTTCGTATATCGAAATGTTCAAACAACCTTGATCCCGTGAATTTGAAGGGAGTGTACAGGAAGAAATCATTCTCAGGAACTTTAAAGTCCTTTAAAAATCGACTTAGTACAAAGCGTACTCAACGCAAGTTGCGCAGTGATATCCGGAATATTGAGTTCGATGGGGAGGCCGTGAATTCTCCAGATTCAGATAGCGTGATTCTCGGTTCTAAAAATGTAGGATTTTTTTCAACTTATAGTTCATTTAGTTGTGGAACTTGTAGCCCTGTTCGTTCTCCATTTTATCAAAACAATAGTATTCGCATTAATAGCTGTGATCTAAGTTTGTGGTAGTATATTTTTAATAATCCGGACCAATCTGCACGAGTCGGTGACTATGAGGGTCACTTATATCATGACGCATCAAATAGCAAGATAACAGAGTTTTTATGGTTCATCAGAATTTAAGCCCGGACTTTAGCCTGAAGCCAATAACTGACGATGACACAATTTATCACGTAACACTACTACTACTACTAATTACCAACTAATTTCAGTCGTCTATTCTCAACAAGTGTACTGTGGACGATGGAGTAGCGCCAAACCAGGAATCTCTACACAAACTTTCATGTATCCTTTTACGCTGCAATCTTTAAACATTTAGTTGTATTTTAGTGCGATTTAAGAGTACAAGTGATGAGAGGGCCTCTCCAGTGGTGAGGCATCGCTCACATTGTTAGCATAGTTTGCTACATTGTACCATCTAAACGTTTAAATAACATGTGTGTTTTAGCGTACTTAGCACACGTTGTAACCCATACTTACTTCGTTACTTCGTCCGTTACATAACATAGCTTATTTAAATACGCCATAATGTATGGAGGCTTTAATACTATTTTTCCATTTCTATCATGAAGTACCTCTTTTCAACTGTTATAGTACCGTTAAGAATTCCCTATTTTTTCAATAAAAATATTACGTGAGTGTATTACGAACATAATAATTGATCTTTGACTGAAAACTCAAAATCACGCACCCGAGAGTGAAAAGTTATCAGTGGTAAATAAAAAATGGGTGTAGAATGTAGAATATATTGTGATATTGACACACCCAGCCCACAGTTCACACCTGATATGTTTGTTTAACAGTTAACACCTTCCTTGACCCAGTATTACACCCTGTAACTAGACTAGTCTCTGTCTTTATAATTACTAATATATTATTATTATTATGTCTACTTTGTTGGTTAATAGTATGCACATTTAAACAGAGTTTTGCCAAAATGTTAGGTAAAAATCCACCTAACGCACCGTATCAGGCATGTATAATAATATATTGTGTATAATCGTGTATTAATAAGATTGCAGTATTGCGCAGTGCACAGTGCTAGGTACAATACTTATCAAGTACCGTATCTCCAACATCAAACACAAATACGGTGAATCCCTGACACTGATACATCTCACATTAGAAGAGAAATAGTTTTTATAATATATTTGTTAAGATTTAAATTGGTCATTAGAACCACCCGGGCACCGTCTCGGTTTACAATCAGTTGCTCCTTTTTTTGTTGTATATAAGAAGGTTTTCTCAGAAACATATTATATCAGAAACATATTATGATGACGTATTGAGCACTGATTTCCTGTAATCTGATCTCGTTATAACGACTAGTATTACGGTGGAGAGAGAGAGAGAGAGAGAGAGAGAGAGAGAGAGAGAGAGAGAGAGAGAGAGAGAGAGAGAGAGAGAGAGAGAGAGAGAGAGAGAGAGAGAGAGAGAGAGAGAGAGAGAGAGAGAGAGAGAGAGAGAGAGAGAGAGAGAGAGAGAGAGAGAGAGAGAGAGAGAGAGAGAGAGAGAGAGAGAGAGAGAGAGAGAGAGAGAGAGAGAGAGAGAGAGAGAGAGAGAGAGAGAGAGAGAGAGTGCATCTTATCTTAGTGAGAGTTAATATTGTCTGGTTACAAGCAAGAGCCCTCCTCGTGCGTTATGAAATATGTGTCACCAAAAGTATAGTATGAAGTAAAAGATTAATAATATATAAGACTGCAGTATGTAGCATAATGTAGACACCCATATTATAATAAGTGAGATGTGAGTGTGTGTATCAAAACATTAATAAGTACCATTTCACATCTTATTGTTGTTGGGATCACAATATATATCGTTAAATGTTGATAAATGTTGTCACCCCTGTCACTTACTGGCGCTGTGTATTGATCCTTACTTTAGTTGAAAACCTTAAAGAGAACCTCTAAAGAGCCCTCTAGAAACCACTACAAAACTACTACAAAACCTCTTAAAAACCTACAGTTATCCAAACTATCACAAGAACTATTTTCCTTAACAGTATCCACAGCTGTAACCTTTGAAGGACCCCTGGTCAGCAGACATATCGCTGTGTCTCTCTTTGATAAGTTGGCAAAGAAATCATCATCACTCTCCACAAAGGTAAACCTTATTCTTTCCCACGTTTAATATTAAGACGCAATGAAACTATCGGACCATATATCGGATATAGTGTTGTTCCTGATTTTATGGTCCAAATTTTTGGCACTAAAATTCTTATTCCTTGGCCAATTTTTATTTTTTCATGCCAATTTGAAGGCCATTAAAGCATATTTTGAGCCATTCAAAAAAGTTTAAGTTGTATATCTTTTACGGTTTTTGCGGAAAGTCGTGTTAAAGTTGATGCCGTGGTGTCAGTAAAATGGTACGGATATATATATACATACATACACATATTATATATATCGTCTCGCTTTATATATCGTCTCGCTTTGGTCGTTCATTCAACTCGCCTTATTTATCAAACTTTTATCACTTGTCCTCTCGAACTATATCCTACCGACGTACCCTCTCAATCCGGAATAGAAGAACAGATAGGTCGCCTAAAATTAACTTCCTCTCAACAAACCAAAACCCTTCGCGCACAATGTTAGTATAGTAGTAGCGATAAGTGAATAGCGATAAGTGAATAACTGAAACATTTAGTTGTGTATCAAACTGAACTTAGGCACGTTTAGTTGTTTATCAAACTGAACTTAGGCACGTAATTGAACGTTGTTATTCTTTCTCAAGAAATTTCTCACAATATTGAACCTCTGTCTCAGTCTGTTGACTGCTATCCTTTGTCGCATGCTTGTTATCAGTTGTTATGTTTAATCTCCCAAACAAAATCGTCACTTTGTGTCAACATCTTAAAGCCTCACAAAGTTCATATTTGTCTCGCCGTGACCTGTTTAATTTAGACTAGTCCTGCTACTTTAGCACTTCAGGACTGCTACTCGGAATTTGTCATGATTATGAATATGTCGCGCCTGTATCTCAGTCCACTGCTGGAGATCTCTTATCAAAACTGTGTGTTTTATTTGGGTCAAATTTGATAAGGGTATACAATTTATGATAATTATAGGCGAGACACGTATAAATCGTGGTACATGTTCGTGTCAAGATTATATGTAGTCCGAACACCCTTCCTGTCAAATATTCCCACCTTCAAAGGTAGACTCGTAATTTCCAGTGACACGTGTCACGTGATCAATGTCCCTATCAGTCATCTCCGGTTAACCCGCCACTCAAAGGATCAGACAATCAAGTGAACTTTTTGAATATGTTATAATATTTACTGTCTCGTTCACACTCTGCCCCTTTAATCAGTAATCATATTTGGATGTCGAGTGTCTTCAAAAGGTCATGTAAGTGGTTTTGAATTTCAAGTTACAAATACAGACATAAAGTTGTAAGGACGGTCCTATAACACGTTTCCAAATGAATGATCCCGCACGGGTAATGGACTACCTTACTCGGGATTATTATGACCGGGATAAAGTGGTGGGTTTAGGGTAATTTCGCCATATTTTTCCCGAACCACATTTTCACCGGTCGTTAATAAACCCGCCTACTCAGCTTTTAGGGTTCCCAAGGGGTATGGGTGCTCATATTTTAATCGTTGTCTTATATTCACTAAAGAAGACTATTGGGACACTTGTAGGTTTTTCGACTTCATTTGGCTAAAATTGCAAAAAATTCACCTTTTTGCCCAATTCTTGTCATATATCCTTATTGTCAAATTTGATTTAAATCGGCCAATTTTTAATTTCTTAGGTATTGACTATCTCTACATAATGAAATAGGACTCAAAGTAAAAGTAACAGTTAAATTAAAACTTGAATTAATTAAAACTGATGAAAGGGATGATCCAGATGAAGATAACGAAGATGATTACAACTTATTGGAAGACTAAACAGCTCTCCCTTTATCTTAATATCGATCTGGTTGTTACGCTTCAAATGTTAAAAATTATTTTCCATCTAGTTTGATTAACCACGAGTCATTATTTCTGTCTACTTTCAACAATTATTGATAATTCGACTTGTTTCACAAGTTTTAGCAATGCGAAAATTTCTAAACTTGCTTACGGGTATCGGCCTTACAAAATGACACGAAAAAGGAGATGGCTCTGAAATGCACAAAAATGAGTTTTGTTCATGTTTTATTATCCAGATAGGTAGTTCAACAGGTATATTCTTCTTCCCGGGGGTTGATTTGATTGAAAAACCGTAAATTTTGCGATAAAAATTGTCATCTTTGAAATCTTCCAAAAAAACATGCCTTACAAAATGACAATTTCGTCACGGCTGTCATTTTTTAACAGCAGCTTATAGAAATTTGATTTCACCTAGGACAGTTAGATAAATATAATAGATTGAAGATTAGAATAGCTTTTACAGGAAAAAGGATGATTAAAAAAGTTGGGCAATTTCGCGTGAGATAGTGCCTTACAAAATGACAACCCAAAACGGCATCACTTCAAATCCGATTTGGGAAAAAGTTTCATTATTCTTTCACGTGTCTTACTGTTAGATATATATGTTGTTTATATTATACCAGTTCTGTTTTTACCAGAATATATTAAAAAAGGAACATTTTTTGTACTTTGAAAAAATTTAAAAAATGTCATTTTGTGAGGCGTAAAAATCATTTTTTGTTTTCATACTTGAACACAGTATTTGGTTATATTTGATATTTTCTATGGCTGGATAGATCACTTTTCAGTGTTTAGTTAACGTTTGACATGTTTTAGGAGTTGTTATTACTCTCTGCTTTCACAAAATAGAAGCTTTATTTCGTTGAGTTTTGAATTCAGAGTTTGAAATCAAAGTTTTGATATCAGAACTGCACTTTTTTAATGCTACTTGATTGTTAACTGTCAGATTATGATTATTTTTAACTCCTTCTTGTGTTGACTGTTTCTGATCCATTTTAGATGATGAAAGTAATTCAATCTGAAACATTGTCATTTTGTAAGGCTTTTCGGTGTCATTTTGTGAGGCATTTTGATCAAAATTTATGATCAAACAAACACATTTAGGCTCATCATAAGCTTACTGGGTTTAAGAATACCAATAATTAGGCAAGGGGCATCCAATATAAATATGCCATCTTTGTATCATAAAATAAAACTGTCATTTTGTGAGGCATAACACTGTCATTTTGTGAGGCTAGGTCATTTTTTTGTCATTTCTTCTACCAAAGTCACTAAATCAGTTTTTTTATTTGACCAGAGTAGTCTTTGATTGACATAAGTCATGGTAGTACCTGGTTTTCTGGGGTTAAATTCTAAACTTTGGTCTCCATTCTGGGTAACAGTTAGGCGGGGCAATGACTGAACAGCAAAAACGTCCATATTTATGTAAGAAATATAGATTCTATGTCATTATCATTCCTTGGGAAGTGTTAATTAATGCTTTTTCTTTCATACAGTAAAAGGAATAGGGTTCAATGTATAGGGAACCTAAGCTACAGCATGGTCTATGTGGGCTGTCATTTTGTGAGGCCTGTCATTTTGTAAGGCCGATACCCGTATCTCTAATAAGGAAATTTACATCTGAGACTAAATTTTTGAATCTAAAATTGAAAGGTTGGACACCGGTAAAATGGCGACCGGGAAAATGTGGTGGGTTTTGAGCAATTTCGCCATATTTTTCCCGAACCATATTTTAACCGGTCGTTAATAAACCCGTCGTAATAATCCCGGTATGGTAATTGGTAAGTGGTATGACCATACCATGCAGACGTTTTAACAAATCCTGCCAGAAACTTAGTTTTGATAATGTATTAATAATTAGTTGTAGCTTGGTGCTCAACTGCAAACAAGCAGGAGCATTATATTTCAAAGGAGTGAAACACTCGAAATGAGCGGGCACATTAGAATAATGAATGTTGGTGAATTCTTTATTCTAATTTGGCACCGAGGATTGTTCTTTCTATAACCATACCATGTACAACGATTCGTTTGCCCTCCTATTTCGAGTCTCAAATATATCAATATATTATGTGTTGTTACAGTCAAGTGTAATGTAATTTGTCCCTTGGTAACAACCACAACAAGTATTTCCTGAGTTTATGAAGGAGTCTTCCCGCCCCACCTTTCAGTCGCTTTATCATTATAACAGTATAAAACACAATGTCAAACCTTAGTGCCACAATAGAGTAATTAAGATTGATTAAGTTATGAGGAGGTGCAATATCTAGTTTCCATGCCTGTGATAATTAGGTGTTGCAATACAAGGAAAACTCTGGGCACCAATTAGAGGAACCCAGCCGTATCACGTGCTCGATATTCTGATGTAATTGTAGGATTTTAAATTGTTGATCACTTTGATCCTGGTTTTAGCAGGTTTATGTCATGGTGTCATGGTGTGTGATCACATAGCATTAGTCTGAGAGCGTACAATTACGTGTTAATCAACATTAGTCTGCAGAATGAACAGTGCACCATCTCGCACCATTATATTGGACTTGTTCGTACACGTTAAAAAGCTCAAGATGTTGGTGTAGAAAGCTGAATATTGTGTGGCTGATGCTAAAATTGGAAGCCATCCTAGTTTACAAAATAGTTCAACTTCATAGTTGTAACCTATGGATAAAAAAGCAGCCGTTGGTCGTTAATTATAATGTTGATTGGCTAACTAATGTGCAAAGTTGTGTATTCATAGTACCAAGCTATCTTCCAAGAAAATGTAGGCAGAAATAGATTTTGTTAAGCTTTAAATTGCTGTACAATGTAAATTTGAAATCCACAATTTGTAAAGGTGGATTCCAACTCGTACAAAGACGGTTGTCACTGAAATATCAAAGTAAGTCACCTGTTGCACTTAATAGGTATGATTGTGAATTACTACTACTACCTTATAAACCCCTCCGGGATAGAATAAGATTATGATAATCCCGGCTCCCGCTAAATAGATTCTGATAATCCCGCCTCCCGCTGTTAGTTTTTTCCCGCTGAATAAATAACCCCGGCACAACTTCTATAATCCCGCCCCGCTAATTTGGCTCAACAAGATTTGTTTTGTTTTGATATTCCATGAGAATTTCAACTGCGCACTGTCACGTGTTTTGATGACGTGTATCACGTGACTAACTACTACGACGCGCATTGGTAAAAAATGTCACGTGACCTATGGCTTAACGTAAGAACTATAAATACACTTGATCTACGTATCGGTCTAATTGCAGGCGCTGGCAAAACTCCAGCACACTGCTTACATTACTTAAACTCTTACATTAATAGGACCAGTTCCAGAACTTGTCTCGACGGTTACATTTGATTTTGTCCGGTTAATTTTGTCGTGTTTGATATAAGCCATGTATTATAGTCGTCTACTTTGATGAACTTCATGACACGATATCATTATTAGCTCCACCTTTTATCGCTTGCCAGGCTTAACTCGACGCCCCTTTATGTCGATATTCATATTCATTCAACGTACTTCTGACTGAGGAATAATGTTTAGATATAACGCCAATTTCAAATGTCATAGTACCTTAGTTGTATTTATTTCAATTTGGTAGTCCCCAATTCCATTTCATATTTTTCATACTGATCTCATATGGCTAGAATTAAGAGTAAAATGTCAAATTTGTTGGTCCTAGCACTAACCCGGAGGGGTTTATAACACATAACACCGGCACGCTTAAGTTATATTAAAATAACCCCTCGTGCTAAAGCACGTCGGGGTTATTTTCATAATAATCCCTCGTGCTTCGCACTCGAAATTATTATAAATTTTTCCCGCGCGTCGCGGGAAAAATTGAAATATAATCCCTGCGCATGCCGGGGTTATGTGTGTTATGTTCACCTTATGATTAAGCACCAGAACTTGACAAATAGATCGCAAATCTATTAGATGCCAACATTCTGCACTGCTACACTGTGATTGATATCCAGACAATCAGGCCTTGTACCAGATAAAAAGTATACCCGACACCTTGATCAAGCATCTCCGAGTTTATTAAAAGTCGACTGATTCAGAAAGGCGGAATGCACGTGCCAGTGCAGTCCAATGAAATGTAAAGATTTAAATTGATTGATCACCTTCTATCAACAGTTGAGCAAGAATACAGTAAACACACAATGTGTTTATACCTTATCAGTCCTCAAAGTGTAACTCAGTAACTGTCCTTATCAGTACAATACGCCCTATACTTATAAAATATATAGTTCCTTATCTGCAAAACATTATGGTCCCTTATCTATCAGCTCTCTGATATAAAATTGTGTTCTTATCATGTGTTATCATCATTATGTGTTATCATCTTATTACGCCTGTAGAGTGTTACTTCAGGGTACAGCAGTACTATTATCACACTACAACATAACAGCACCCATATTCGATGTTCACTGTTCGGTGTACAATTATTAAAGGTCTATCAAGGCTACAATTATCCCAATATCTATAAGCACTATAGTCTATAGCTGTAAACAAAACAGTCGCTGACGACAGAATGTTAAAAATATCGTAACAACATGATATAAAGCAGTTCAAAGTTAGGAAACTGGTTTAACAACAGCAAGTTTAACTGTATTGTCTTGTATCTAGAGATTCTACACGCCGATATCACGTGGTCATGTCATGTATCTAGAGATACTACACACCGATACATTTAACAATTCCACTTGTTTCCACAATTCCACTACACACACGACACACGTTGAGTACACGGTTGGTTTACCTCTAAACATTTCTCCTGAGTTTACAAACGATATTAGCTGCACGAGCCAGTTACCGTCAGTTCCTGGATATAACCCAATAGTTGTCACTCTGTACTTAGTGTGGCTTCAGTGTGGGAATTACAGCTGTACTGTTTTGGAAAGTGTTGAAGGGGTGGTATACAAGTCAACATGCACGGGGTGGTTCTCTCTAATTCTTCCTACAGATTATTTTATAGTCCCGGAATTATAGAATATATATGGTACAGTAGAGGGTCTGGTAAAGCTACACAGTTAGGGATTTTGTTTTTTAAGGGGTCTAGGTTTTTTGTTGTTGTTCGTCAAAAACCTTTTTTGATTTTACAGAGTACTGGAGTACATAAATCATTGACGGATACTTTTAAAATCGGATGAAATGTTGGCTCCGTCTGTAAAATATTGCGAGTAAATGAGTAATGCACAGTGAACTGTGCCCGCCCCGCAATAACCAAAAACCCGTAAAGGCAAATGTAAACTGTTAGGCGAATAATGTGGAGAAGTTTAAGTTTTATCAGGCGGGACTGCTACACTGTACTAGAGATTGTACACGCCTATATCACGTGGTCTTGTCTTGTATCTAGACACACTGTCAGAGCTAACCACTTTAAAAAGTTCTGAATACTGTGAATGAGGCTCTGTGTTCCACTGTTCCCAACTCCTTCCAGAGCTTCTTAGAACCTCTCCTTCCTCCGCAGTAATTTCTTAGTTTTTGGCAAATTTCATTGAAAACACTGATTCAGCCCTCGCTACCTATTCTGCATGCTTGACATTGAATGGATCATAGTAATCAGGGTCATGAGTTGAACAGTGAGTATGGTTGTGCAACTTTGTGCTTAGTCCAATTTACAGTTTATATATAATACATGCTACACAACGATCACACTGGTGACTTCTAATTCTTATCGCAAGTTGTTACAGCTGATAAGAGAGCAACAAAATGTAAATCGACTTACGACTGTTGTCACAGTAAAAGGTAAGGACCAGTAAGGGGTGTCTCGCATTTCGTGAGCTTCAATTGTTAAGAAATCGCTCAGGAACCAATCCTACTCGAAACGATCGTCGCGTTAGACGTCAGTGTTTCCGAAGATTTGTGGATGATTCACCCATCGTCGATAAAAAAATAGAAAAATAAACTCACTTGCTTTGCTCACATCGAAAGTCAAAAGACTATGATACCGTACTCTGAGCAACCTAAAACATTGATAACACAATTGCGAGGTAGTGTATGAGACAAGGTGTCCCCCTGGGAGTACACATGACTTTATCACAGAGATATCTTATACAGACACTTTGTACTTTACCATTGTAAGTTGTATATTACAGGGACTCTATGCCTGAACATCAAAATTATCCGTTATCATTTACACTTTACAGGGACTTCATTGATCCTTTCAATTTGGTTACCAATCATAAAAACACGCTCGCTATAATTGATCATGATGCGGGTCCAGGTGACAATTTGGTATTGGCGATGTTAATTATTGTAGTCCACGATTTCGATTACGTTATGTTACCTAAAACGTCTCTCTTGAAATTATAACTGTATAAGATACTTCCGGCTTCTACTCAGTTTTAGATTTAAACCTGTGAATATCTTTATTATGTCATACGTGTGGGATCTTGGGGTCTAAAATATAGGCCTCCCTTCATGACGACCGCCGGAAATAGCGAGCAATATTATATACGATTTCTACAGATTTCAAAGTTTTATTATACTTATTCACTCTAGAAAAATATAAAGTAAGAAAGTATAAACAAAGTTAGACTGTGTTGACCGCCAAGCAGCCAGTGCTAAACTACAAGAATTTTTGAATTTTTAGATTATACTTATTGTGTTAGAATGCAAATGAAACACTATTCAAGATGTTGAACACAATTTACACGTTATATGATATGCATCTCACATGTTCTAAACCACCACCAACAGTTGGAAAGCGGTCAAATGGGGGAGCCAATAACCTGAAATGGCATAAATGTCTATTTACTCAAAAGTTTTTCCATTTTCTTCATAAAAATGTATGCCATTTAAGTTCATTGGCTCCCCCGATCAAATTAACAACTAACAAACCCTGTTAACGTTTCAGATAATTCCAGTGGTATGCTACCTGCTACGACAGGGCTCCAACTACTTCAAAATGGAGGTTCAATATAAGAGGACACTGATTGTGAAACTCATGGAGTCCTCGCTTGCCTGCCAAGGCACTGTCGTCCACGAGCTTTACAAGGTTAGCAATAGTGATTAGATGATTATCTCATGATTTTGCTGATTAAGACGTTAGCCAGTTTGTGAGCCATTTAAAACTAGCACTGAAGTGAACATTATCTCTCGCCCAGCCTTAATCAAGCAACCCCTTTACCCTGTATCATGCTTGCAATGACAAGCAACCCCAGCCCTTTACCTTGCAATGACAGGTCGGTAGGGGGTCGGCTAAACGTGTCGTGTTCTCAAGTCTGCTGTGTGTCCATTCTATTTGTTACCATTTCGTAGAGACCCTTAAATAGTACACGTGCAATGTACCATACTCATGACAGTAATTAGCAACCAGATTTGGTTTGTACTGATCTGCTGGAGGATAATCTGATGACATTCACATATTATTATGGCCACATAATGTTAACTTGTTACTAGTGAATAAGGACCTGACAGTAACATGTGATCTTGACAGTAGCACGTGACCCACCGTGCTGTAGATGTTTGTCATGCTGCACCCCTGAGGCTGGCCTCACAGTACACACTGGGACACAAGTCAAGAGTGAAGTGTCCTGGTGTTTTCAGTAAGTTTGGGTTAAAGGAGTCCAAAACTGCACTAGAATTACACTATAACTGCACTAGAATTACACTAGAACTGCACTAGAATTACACTAGAACAGCTCTAGAATTGAAGGGGAGGAGTATCTAAACCGTGCAATCTATCTCATGTTCACGCCAAGCTGTCTGCTTTCATAATTCATATTGCCCCGTTTTATGCGCATAATTTACTGTGCAGGAATTTACCTCGTGAATATAAAATTATGATGAATATTGAATGATAGATGTCCACTATCGCAAGCAACCAATCAGTCGTAAAACTCTGCTCCACCCTTTTAAAAGTCTCAAAGTTTTCCCGACTCGTGAAGTTCGCTGGAATGTTATGTATTGACAAAGTTCGCAGAAATGTTAGTGAGAAGCAGCAGCTGCCCAATGCAAACTAACTCTACTTGTTTTCTTTCATTCGAAATTTTATCATGCAGAGCAATTAAAGAGCTCTTGTCTTAATGCATACAAAAAACTGTAAAATGTAGAAACACAAACTTTTCAAGTTTGTCGGAGGGCTAACTTTGTCTAAAGCGATAATTTTTAGTATTGTTCTCATTATCAAGCAATCACACTGGAGAATAATTAATGATAGCAGCATAGCGTGAAGCAATTATTTAAATTAAAACTGGGCAATATTATTACATACTTCTTCTAACTCACGTGCCATGAATCAGGTCTCAAGATTGGTTCCAACATTCTAATATCAATAATTATGTTCATTCCAACACTCATTCGCACAATCACGAATTCTAAAGCTCGCAGAGAAGTAAAGACTAGGTAATTATTTCAAAGTACCACTTCATTTCATAATTGTAGTGCCCACTACTGCCAACAAATTGTTCTATATTCTTACCTCTAAGGATGGTTGCGATGCTTGTAATGTCAGACCACCATTCTTTTACTGGTGTTCAATGACTCCCTCCACCCTTATATGGTCTGATTGCTTCTTTCTCATATCTCTCGCTCAACCCCCTTTTTAACGTATGTACCCTCTATTTTTTGCTGCAACCTGCTGTTTTGTCTCTTGGTAGTGTTTGACGTTTGCCAAAGTGGACCAATTGGTGAGTTACTCGAATTTTGCAACTTTGGGATCATACTTAGAGTCTATGTATTGGTCAAAATATGGAAAAGTGACTTAATTTTTACGACAATATTTACAAATAAGGAATACTTAGGTGTTATGGAGCACTAATCTAGTGAGATATACTGTACTAGCTTACCTTTTCCTGAGAGAACTGTTCACAAATTACTACACAGTTTACTATATCACTGTTTACCATTATTTAACCAAATCTTTCAACGATATTTTAACCGGTCCTCTCTGTACAACTGTGTTACTGTGTTACAACTGTTCCATAGGTTATCAAACACAAAAGAACAGTGGCATGCTCCCAGATAATTTAAAGCGAGATCATGATACATTGTAATTAAGTTCAGCCTGGTATCTAGACAGACGTAGATACAGTATCTGTTCTGATTACCTACTAATTACCTACTAATGACCTACTAATGACCTACTAACAGACTGTTAGATTGTCCAACAGCTCCCACACGCTCTAAGGTTTCCTGACCCTTTAGTACTGATAGAGAGTTAATTGAATTAAACTGGGAAGGACTTGTTGCTCGGGCAGCTACTGGGACTCATTGTAACTTGAGATATTTAAACAGGGGGCTTTGGGAGCTTCTATGGGATGAGTTTTAAGGTATGCCTGGTATGTGCGATGGGCGCAGGGTTGTCAAGTGCTTAAATAGCAGCGCTTCATAATCATTTCGTTGGGAGTTAACTGGTAATTAACTTGGTGTGGTTAGATTAACAGGCAGTCAATGACATACCATGATCATGAATAGCACAAATACTTGTTACCATTTAGCCAATTCTTAACCTGCTGATCCCGAACTGTTTATAGTAAGTTAGTTAATGCTGGGCACTAAATTTCACCCGCTAATATTAGGTTAATCAGTATGATTACAGCTGGTGTCTTTATGGTATGCTCTGTAAACTAAACACACAGTAACTATACGTCATACGAATCTGCTCTAAGTATGTCCCAAATGTTTCTAAATATATCTTCCAGTTCCTGCTATTCATTAATTTACACAGGACACTCGTCGTTTTTGTAAAGTGTATTAAATTTCATCGATTTAAAGGAATTTAATTTTTTAAATGTAGATGATTGAGAAACAGCTGTATTATAATATAGTATACACACGCGCGCCACAGAGGCTGCCTGTGCTATTACCACACCGGACCCGTACCCAAATGTGTCCATTTAGACATTACCACGGTTACCAATCAGAAATGTGTATTTAAAGTAAACCCCATTAAAGTAGACCTTTAAAGCAATATTATTCAATTATTACAAGACTTGGATCTTAGACTACTTTATTAAGATCAAAGGAATTTCGTGACTTACTAAAATGTGCCATAATGTTTTATGCTGTCTAATTTGTCGAATTGTTAAGTGTTCCTAAGTGTTCTTAAGTGTGTTTACCGCCTAAGGCTCACACACGACGTTGTTACATGTGGTAGAACTTAACATATCAATATCAATTATCCTGACCCGGGGCCGGGTACATAACTAACTGGTTTTATACGGTTTCAAGTAACGTTATTGCATCATTTCTTAGATTCAAAGATGCCATGCATCGTGTGTCCCAATACGCTACTCCGTGGCGTATTTCGGCCAAGGCGGAAACATTATCCAAATAAACCTTGACAATCACTGAATCACAACACGCGAATTGGATGTTTACAGCGCGCGCCACCGCCAAATCGGATTTTTCTGCTAAATAGCATTATGGCACGTACAGTTATATTTGTGCAATCGTGGAATTCATGCTGTTGATCCAGGTGTTTTCTACACGCAGCCATGCCAAAGCAAGAAACTTTTAATCTCATTAGGCTGCGTCTGGAATTGTTCAATGCTGTTCCAATCTCAGTTTTACTGTAATTATACGGAGCTACGATCCGGTCAGGAGATTTCGAACAAGATAACTTAATCATGTTAATAACGCATCGCTGTTGCAGGAGTTAGTCGAGTTGATAGAGTATGAATACAAGAAGAGTTTACTTGGAGACGAGTACAGTTCAGAACTTGCAGTTCCCAAATGTATTTCACTGAACGGTATGTACTTTATAGTACATTACCTTTTTATACAGATTACGTTCTAATGACCTTAAGATTACTTTGTGATAAGAATTACATCGTGATTTGTGGTTGGAAGAATTCCAATAAAACTCTCCGACTAGATTAACACGATCTCTGCCACAGATATACCGGTGCGAACAAAAGGCGATATCACACGAGAAGTACAGATAGAAGCGATAGTATCTCCGGAGAAGAGGATAGTTGATCAGATCACCACAGCCAGTTGTATTGAGCCTCTACCTCCCATGACAGAGATATGGAAGTTTGCTGCCCAATACAAACAACTCAACCAACATGCTATCAACATGTAATTCAGTTTCTTAAATACTAATATTACACCAAAATCTCGATTTACCGCGCTCCGATTTACTACAAACCCTGATTTACCGCACCCATTTCCTTCCCCCTTCTCCTCCGCCCCCGAATAGATGGTTCATGGTTCCTTTCCTTAAACTGGTAAATCGGGGTTCTACTGTACCAAGAATGGCAGCTGAAATCATTTTACGTACATAAACGGGATTTAATCTGTAAATTGAAGAAAAAGTTTACCTATTGAATAAATTTCTTCGACGTGATAAGATTAATTACACGTGTGTTTGCAGGGAGTTACAGCGAGTTTTACAAGGGAAGGAGCCAATGTGCCAGCTCAGGGCGCTTTCGGTTGTTGATTATCTTTCTCAGCATTATCACAGTAAGTTCATTACTCGTCGTGATTACTTCATTTCCATCGCAGATAAATGTTACTTTTTACTTCTAAATAAAAGGGAAGGCGGATGCAGTTTTTTTTCGTGTTGGGACAGAGTTACTGAAATCAATTTTTAAAAATCTAAAATTGTAACCTCTTAAATTATAGTAAAGCTCCAATATTTTGTCAATTATTGCATAGATTAAACAATTTGTTGAATTCTATTCAACTTACTTTTTATTGTCACTTGGACATGTATTGCCAGTAACAATAAATTGGTTGGTCACTGGTCAGTGTAATAATTGTGGACCCCTTTCATTCTGTGTTGAAGATTAAGAGTAATTGAATAATTAATAATTTTGAACCTCATATCTTTCCTAACAGACAGTTGCCAAGCCACATTTCTGCACGTCGTCAAAGAAATCGCCGTCTGCGACAACATGGATTTGAAGAAGAAAGCTCAGAGGATATTGTCAAGATTATCCGAGGATAATGAAATTACGCCCTGCCCGTCCCCTCCGGTTAGTAACACATATGTTGTTGCATGAAGTTAGACATTGTGACGTTGCAAAGTTCGATTTCGTAATACTTACAACACCTGCTCTTCGATTAATTACGTCTAACCCTGCAGCGATCGCCCTACATTGGAGGACAAACCCACTCAAACTCACAAAATAACCTCGTATCGTCCCATATGAAGCGCAGCTATGATAAAATCCTACCGTCTACGGTGGGATACCAAACTATGACCAACAGGTGCGTTAATTGGCTAGAGTTCCTAACAATACCAGAAGGACCAACCCTACTCCCTGTTTTGTGATTGCAATCTTTTATGTATTCGAATTATATTACCTAACACTGCCCAGCCTAACTGACTAAATGCCCCTAATCTCAGTGATCATGTGGACGAGACGCTGCTGGATTTAGGATCCCCCTGCTCCTCTAACTCGTACAACGCATCCCCCGAGTCCTCACCCTCGCGCCACAGATTCCTCTCATTTTTCAGTCCTCCTCCTTCTCGTCAGCCTGGCTCGCTCTCCCGTCGGGGCAGCGCCGACAGCAGCGACAATTTATTGGGAGCGCACCTTGAGAGTGCTACTCCCGTTTAGTTAGCTCCTTATAAGGGCATCATGTGGTGTTTAGTTAGCTCGGTCTAGACATTATAGGTTTTATTATTTTCACTCAAGCTTTTTAGGATTTAAGATGATTTTTTTGCAATTTTGAGTTTAGAACATCCAGCAGCGATTTTATGCTTTTTGCTGTTTTTGTGTTTGTTTGAGCAGGAACGTTTTTAGTGTGATTTTAGTCACATACAGTGATTATCACCGGGCAACATGCTACGATTTTTTAAACTACGCGATTCGATTTCAAACCGGATTTCAAATTGGTGTGAAAAGCTGAACGCCATTGTTCACGGAACTAGATTGGAATTCCCTTAAAATTGGGTTATCTCAGGCAGCTATTGTAACTACCACCCTGTAAATTGAGTTATCCGACACTGTTTGTATTTCAGATGAAGTTTCCCTGCAATTTTAACAGATTTTATGGCTATGCTATGCCAATTTATTTAGTTCCGTGCGTTTTTCTGAGGTCATATATGAACGCCGTGTTGTGGTTGTTGCACAAAATAGAATTGATTTCATTTTGTGAGTAAAATAATGATATTTTATTTAACTTCATACCCTATTCGACTTTTCACCGCGGATTTACCAACGTACTGCACAGAAAAGAGAAACCAAATGGCATAAATTTCAATGATTAAAACAATTTAAAGTTCCCATTTTCATTCAGAATGTAACACTTCGGTCGCATGTTAATTTTTCAGCGAAGCTAAATAATCATCACATTTACAATTCTTCATTGTTATAATATTCTTCGCTGAGTTTTTGTTTGGTGCAGGTTTTTTAATTTTATGTTTGACTGTTATCATTTGACTGAGCTTTGTTTGCTAAAAATGTGATATAAAAGTTGAAATCTCGCATGGTTGATGGTGGGATTAACCATTCAGTTTTAGTTTTGGCTGCCATTTGTAAAGATTTAACAAATTTTGTTGACATTAAATTTAACGATTTTTCTTTGTCTGTATTATAGGCCAGCTGGACATAAATCCGAAATACAATTAAATACGAGTCTGTGAATAATGAATATGGTGCTATTTTATGCACGTCACACGGTGGTAGTGATGTCGGTAATTTAGTTAATCTGAGCGGAGTAAGAAAATGATGTAAAACCAAATCGACTTTAACTACGTGATGTCATGCTGATCTAAATGAATGAAAATAGTTGTGAAGAGGCCAGAATGAAGAACGTGAAAAGGGGTGCCCATTTGTTTTATCTACTTCTCTGGTGTGTGAATTGCGGTGCTCAGTGCTAGCGCTTGTCGTCCACGATCATTTCATTCCAGAATATGAAACAACTTCCTGAGAATTAGAATAAAACTGCACAACTATTTGGTTGATCGCAGTTACGCATTTAATGCCACCGACTTGCGTGGTTTAGTAAAGCGGCTTATAGTTATATTAATCTGCTTAGTTTAATACCGCAGTGGGGAAATCTTGCTAGGTTGTCTTGCTTTGTTAATATTCTGACGTTTCACTTCACAATGAGGCCCATAATATAGTAATAACTATTATACTAATTATAATATATATATATAATTAATAATATAGTAATTATGATATAGTCTTTAATTCCTTTTTTTGTTCGTGTCATGTCATTTATAGTCTGAGGGTCGTGTCAAAATTGTAGGATGATTTTGTAAAATGTTATTTTAAGTAGATTATTTGACATCGTAGCTTTTCTCATTCAGCTTAACTAAAACAATTCAATTATGACTGGTGCCATGATCAACCATAAAGAAGGTGAATTAACTTTTTGGCCGAACTACAGTGTAAACGATTTCACCATTGACGAATTAGTAAGGAGTGTTCTATCAACTTAATAACACCAGAATGTGTGTGTGTCTGATCGTTCGTGTGTAATTTCCGAACGGTTATACAAAAAAAAAAACGGTAATAGTTACGGGACTGGGTTTTTCGGTATAGTGCCGACAAAACTCTGACGAAGCCAATAAGCAAATTTTATAAAAATTGGCCGGTGGTAAGTGGTTTAATTGATGGTTTTGTACCACAAAATATGTTGCATAAAATGGCTTGAGAAGAACGGCAAGAGTTACGGGGCTAGCTCTCTCTCTCTCTCTGCATAATATTGTGTAGCGTATATATTACATGGCGTATATATTACATGGTCATATAATACTATAAACTTATTAGGGGAGGGAGTGCTCAAACGGTCTGTTTGGACTGTAGAGAGAGTTCATACTTTCATACGACAATGTAATGCATGTTCACAAATATGATCTAGGCTGGTGTGGTGCATGGTGTTAAGGGTTAATTTCTATTGATTATTGATTAAGAATTACTATCTTTTAAGCATACTATTGGATACGTGAGGGCACTCCGAATAGAATTGCTCGTCTAATCCGGGTTTTGACTCAGCGGGTAATTACTCCTACCCTTTTTAACTGCGGCAGTGAAATCCCGGCCGTAGGCCGGGTTACACTAGTTAATATTATATTCTTCTATGAGAATCTTCAATATCCATTAAAAATATCAACTGTTATACGAACTGCAGCTGTCTCCAGAGGGGTCCCTCTAGTTGATATAATACTAATAGTCATAATATGAAGTGTAAAGTGTGAAGTGGTTGTGTCTAACCAAGTTTATTCCTTGAAGTTTTATTCGGCAGAAACAATCAAAAGATAATGAAAAATCGGACCGATAATGAGTTCGTTTATCACGGGAGGTTGTATAATAAACAGTTAAAGTAAGGACAATTTAATGATATGCGTTAACTTTAAGCCTGGTTAATTAGTCGCCACTCTTTCTCGAAGGCTGGTTAGACAGCACAATTATTGTTTCTTAAATCGATCGATACCGTTTATAATTTCTTTAAAATGGCTGGCAGGGGAGCAACGTCAATGATAATAAGTTATAATTCAGCAATCAAGTCGATAATTTAGCATTTACAGCATCGCATTCACAAGTAAAATTTAGCTATGATAAGTAATTAGTAATATCAATATCATTATCCGGGACATAACTTATGTAAATTTGGGTAACGTGTTGAATTTGCGTTTTCATTTATTCAATTATAAGAAAAACAAGGGAATAGAATAAATATTAAAAAATTTAGTTCAACATCTTTATCCAGGAAATTTGGTGGCTCAAATTTTGCGAGCTTTATTAAAGCTTTTTAAAGGCGGAAAGTTGCTAAATACGTTATTGGTTACTTTTACTTGACGACTAACGTTAGCAAAATTTAATTTTTCAGTCACAGCGTCCTGCATGTGCACCCTGCGATGGAATCTTCTAAATACTCGACAGTCGACGGTGTAACTGTAACTGTAATTGTATAGGACATAGGTCTTTACTCTTTAAATTTAATCGACTTCTGGCACTTACCGTGCAGATCATATATGATATAACTATAGGATTAAATAGCAATTTAATCAAGTTTCAAGTTTCGCAAAGTTGCAAATTGCGATCTAAAATTGCTCACTAAAAGTGAAAACAAGTTATACACGACTATTTTAAATGTGGTTAACGAGTCTTTACGTAACCAATTATTGATTTTAGAGCGTAATAAACTGTTATTAGTGGTGCACCGTTACACTTACTTTACGTACCTTTGGCTTTAAGAAGATAAATCCGGCCCCATTAATTAATATTATTAGCGTAATTTATCTTAATTATTTGACCGTGGCTTTATAATTTGAAATTAACAATAATATATGAGCCAGTTATGTCTAATCTAACGTACAACATAATTAATTAAATACTACGCCAATTGTAAGTGCAATTTTAAGCATCAGCTCACAGCTATTTCCTGGATATTATATGTGCCGATACGGCGCGCGGCGGTACATTGCTAAGCTACTCGCCATACAATACAATTACAACTATTATACAAGATGGCTTGCCTGGTAGTGGTCCTGGTATCTATATATTCGTTATATTGTTAACCTTGTAGTTAAAGTGTATAGTATAATTAGTCAGTAGCTTCACAGACTAAGTAGTAAGTACCCATTTGTCAAAGTAAACTTAAACCCCAGCTGAGTGACGAGTGTCAGGGTTGCACTCATTATTTTTTACTTTTACTTTTAGTAGCTTTTCCTTTTAATTTAACAATTTCATATTCGTTGCGATCGTAGATGATTCGGTTATCTTGACCTCTGTTCAAGCTTTTATAGTGTAATTTTTGTTATCTTTTTATATTGAAATTCAACTTCGATGGCATTTGGTAATAATTTACATGGTACGCGATGAATGTCCTAATTTTCTCAATAACATTTAAAGGATTATAACAAATATACAATGACATTATTATGATTTGATTAGAGTTATTCATTTTTATAACAGCATCCGTTCGCTATGATTTCAGCTAATCAACAGAGAATGGTGGTCGAGAATCAGTCCAACCCTCTTGCCGAAACGCCCAAAATAGATTACAATGATATCATGAATGGAGGAGCCAGGGAGGAAATAATCCAAGCCATGAAAGACTACAGCTTCTTCTACATCGTGAACATACCAAACTTTGATCCCCAAGCTGAGCTGGACGTCATGAAACAATTTTTCAGTCAATCCCAAGATACCAAAGAGAAATATGCGTCCATCAAGAACAATCCCAACAATGCAAACATACTCAGAGGTACTTAGAATTTAAATGTATTCTTTAATTAAACAACGGGGAGATTTAATTCTATGTGAGCTTCCTAACGTGTATAAAAATGTAATATTGGCAAAGTTAAGTTTTTCTTTTTCTCAGGTTATGGGTTTACAAAGAACGAGGAAGGGCAGCCCATTGAGGAGGTGTACAACATAGGGCAGTACGAGAAAAGAAATGTTAAGAAAAGTGATGTGTCCTGTATTGCAGAATACATCTCCAGGTACAGCCAAACATCATTTCATTCTCAATTAAAATTCACATTACTTTCTACTTCAAAAATATGGAAAATCTCTATTTTACTAGTACAACAACATATTCGATTCACAAAGTCATTCCTCTTAGGGAGCCTAACGTGTGGCCGGCAGAAAATGACTTTCCAGGTAGCCGCAACTTCAAACCATTGCTAAGCAACGGTTTCCAACTCCGTTTGAAACTGGCTCGGAAGTTGGTTGAGGAAATAGCAGGGGCGTTGGAATATTCTGAATTTGTCGAGAAGTTCAAAGAGGCAGAGTTCTCCAGTTTTTATCTCAAGAAATACACCGAAAGGAAAGCCAAGTAAGTCTGTTGCTGTGAATGTTCTAATAACATCAACTATAAAACTGATAAACAACAACAGTTATATTATTATTTCTCTGTAGAAGTCATACATTGTCTATTGTTGTTTAATTAGCCTTCAATTAGCCTTCAATTAGCCTTAATTCTCTTCAATTTTGACAATATTTGACATGATGTTTGAATGATCATTGAACCTAGTACAGCCGGAGTCTCACTCTATAATGCTGACAATGACACTGCTATACAGGGATAACATTAGCATATACAAGACAGATAGTGGGTACAGCATGGTCTCAGAGGATGGACAGGACCTCTCAATACCCTCGCATATTGACACCACTATCACCCTACTCGCTACTTACTCTAATGGAGGTCTCCAGGTAATGTCCCTATTGTCCCTATTGTCTCCAGGTACTGTCCCTATTCCTTAATTCTGGGGTATGGATTTCTGGAAAATTTTCGATAAAAAAGGTTATGAGGTGGAACGATAAGATAACTTGCAATAAACCAAGATCAAATTCAGGCACTGTACAAGGACAGCTGGTACGAGGTACCCTCAGTAATGGGGAGTTTGCTCATGATGTCAGGCAGTCTGATAGAAGAACTGTGTGATAAGAAGATGCCCCCTCTGCGACACCGAGTTGTTGATATCAAGGCAGACAGATATTCCACACCCTTCTTCTTCAATCCATCGTGAGTTATTAGTCAACCTCAGTTGGAACTTCTTGAATGTGCAGTTTTACAGTAGGTTTGAGACTGGGAGATTATTTATTTACTACAGCTGTAGTGTTACCGTCCTAGCTAACTAAGACACCAAAACTATTTCGGGATCGTTCACAAAATACGTATGCTAGACCAAAGGGGAGGAGGATTGGAAAAGCTCACGAGCGTAATTAATAAACAATAACTATACGTAAAGTGGCTTACGGAATGGGGAGTGGTCTAGGCTTACCTAATATGTGAACCATCTCTTAGACAAGGACTAATAAGTCAATAAACAGCATTCCCACAGGTTTCATGCCAACATATCAAAGTCTCTGTCGGGTCTGGAAACGGATATTGGGAAGAAGTACGAAACATTCGGACCGTGGCAAGTGACTCAACTGCACAGAGACGAACCCCTACTGCTCCATCATCAATCACTGATCTGACCAGGACTTTTCTTGTAACGCAGTGTGCTTATTAGTGTTATTTTTACTAACACTATGGACATGTTTGATTGAACATTTAAAGAAGTCACAATTCATAATGCATGCTTATCGTAAAAAAATGCTGTAAAGAAACATACTGCATGAAGAAATTAGTTCACTGAATAAATTCATATAAATGACAGTCTTTGATACAGTTCAATACTAGTTTTATATTACAAAATTCCCACACCTTCCAAAAAGGGTGATGTTTGGGGGAACCTATGCCTTATTATCAATAAATTTACCGATACAAAATACATACATATACAATATACGTGATAATGGGCTGATAGATCATATTTTATGGCGTTTCATATTTAGTTGACGGTGGTTAGGGTGAAATGTACCGTGCTATAACTAAACAGGTGGTTTTTTAATTATGAATTTGGTCATTTAAAATTAATCCCAACTGGACTTATTAACTGCAATGCTTACGTTATCAGTGCAAGTTATACTTAGCTCAGCTCTTTACAAATTAAGAATAACGTCATCTATAAACAACAAACTAAATCATTTAAAATGGGAATAAATGCCACAATAGTCTTATCAAAACTTTTATGTAATTGTAAAACTTTCTTTAATTCATCAGCTCGAAAATGTTCAATAAAACACGTTAAAAACATTATTATCTCAATATTACTGAATAAAATTGGTCTCAACGACTTGATCTCACTTCAGTCAATATATCTGATGTGAAACTTGGCATTGATCCAAGGCTGCCCAAGCTGAAGTATTTGAACGGTGTCCGGAATATGATGCTTAACATTACTGACACACGCCACCAGACTCAACTTAGTCAGGTCACAGTCCTCCAGGGCTAGTTGTCCGGCAGCTCCCTGACGTCTCAACTTCCTGATCACACTATTGATGACGTCACGTGATGTGGTGGTGTGGGTGATGTGGAGCTTTATACAGGGTGATATCACCGGCACCTCGTCTGAAGAGTATATCCGCACAACACCTGATTGTTTGTGAGTTTGTCCGTCTGCTCCGGAGGTCAGGGTGTCGCTGATGGAGGTAGCAGGGGAGTTGGGAGCGTAGCGGAGGAGATCAGATATACTCCTGACACACTGGTCCCCCTCCTTCATACACTCGCTCAGGACTTTAGAGAAACTGCAATACTCGGACCAAACCCCACACATCTCCTCGTGCATTTTCTTAAACTTGTCCTGGCAAAGTCTGAGTTGTTCTGATTGGTCAGTGCTGATTGTCTGTCTGATCATCTGGACGAGGATGGCGTGACACGTGTTCATGTGAGTTGTCACGTGCAGCATTGATCTGGTCAGATCACCCCGACAGACTCGGTTCAGGAAGATCTCATAGTTCTGGAGAGGGACGGATATTGTGCCGTCAATATCTCCATCATACCCGAGGGGAGCTACAACTTGGGGCGGGATTATCAAGATAACTGAAGTACCCCCGATTTCGATGATAGTTTTTGTGAAGATAGCATAATTGTCAATATCTGATTCGGTGTCATGGACCCGGGAGAGCAAAGCACAAGCTGCAGCAGATACCTGTTTACAGAGTACGCTGTTGCCAGCACCCCCGAGTTGCGCCCTCCGGAGACAGTCCCACTCTTCCATAGTCACGTGACCCACCTCTCTGACATACTCCAGTGGTGGCAGCAGAGGACATGACTTGTCCACCACTATCTCCAGCTCTTCTCCTTTCATCTTGAAAAGGAGGAGTCCTACGAATAGTCCTGGAGTAGGTGGTTGTTCGAATTGCTCGTAAACTGTCTGGAGGTCTGAGGCGTTAAGGTGTGCTATGTCGAAGGCATCTTTAGGTTGAACAATCCCGGAAGTCAAGGTGGATAAGTTCCTAAAGTGGATGCCACCAAATGGCGGAGTGGACGGATCAACAGTCTTGATCAGTAGAATCAGGAGCTGGCCGTTTTTCTTTACAAGTCGATAGTAAGGTATACCCAAGTCATTAGAACTTAAACAATCCTGAAATAATTGCCTTATTAGAATTAAGACAGATCATCAATTAATATTGAATCTTAATCTTAGGATCAGTGACGATAATACTAGTAGAAGGAGAAAATCTAGTGTATAATGATATAATCTGAATTGAAACTTAATAGTACCTGAAGATATATAGCAGCAGAGAGTAGTTTGTATCTGAGCCCTATACCCCCGACCCCCTCGTGTGGAGTCAGTTCTTCTCTCAGCTCCCGGGTTGAAGGCCAACCTGCCAGGGCATGTTTGAACAGCCACAATAGTTCCGTTTCAGCGGATGGTGCTGTCACTAGATCCTCTACCTGGGAAAAGATATTTTTAGATAATTCAGAATTGGGAAATATGGCATGGAAATGGGGCAAAATCGGCAGAAGATCAAAACGATCTTTAAATATCTTCATCAATAGCATTATTGCACTGATGACTAATCTGCTCAAGTGTGGACAACGAAGACCTTTTGTTTTAAAGTTACCTCGATGGTGGGTAGTTTATCAAAGTCTGTCAACAATACTTTTCCATTCTGAGTGCAGTGCACGACTGATAGGTACAGAGATCTGAAATTAATGGAAATGTTAATACAAAAATACTTCTTTCACAATTTATTACTTGATTCAGGCAATATATTGACCAACCATTAAACAAACTAAAGCAATAAATGAATCCGACTAAGGGGTCGTTCACATATTACGTAATCATTTTTTTTGGAAGATTTTTACCCCCTCCCCCCTCCGTAATCAGTTTTACACATAGTTATTTTGTCAAAATTACACTAGCGTAATCATTTGGAAAACCCCCCCCCCCCCCTCAGCTGATTACGTAATATGTTGAAAAGCTCATCTCAACAAGTCTCAAACCCACCTATTCAAGTTCTTAACAAATTTAGGAGTAGTAAATATCCTACTGAGGCTCTTGCTCCGAGGTTTACACTTGGTAGGTGTCTGAGAGAGTAGGGTGGGGAAGAGGTAGTTGAAGTGGGTCCGGAGATCTGAGAGCATGTTGGAACACTTGCTCTGGTGGGAGAGTGGGTCTGTAGGTGGAGCATTGTCGGACCAGTGTGACGGGGTACATCTGAGATCGGGTATTATAAAGCTGTGGGGTTTGTAAGTATGATGTGATGATATTATTATCATAATTAATACAGGGTGGGCCAAAAGTCAGTGTGCAAACGTTGGCCTTAATAGCTCAGTCACTGAGTGCCCAATTGAAATACTTCCTTCTGGTATGACTTAGTACCACCACTGGTTCGAGGAATTTGTCAACTCGTAAAATATTCGCGTTCATTTTTTTCAAATTGAGGTTCATTTTCACATTTATTTGATAGTTTGGATAGTCGGATCAAGCTAAATGTTATTGAATTGTGTTTGGCCATTCGAATTACGTTTGTCCTGAAAGAATTAGAACTGTAGCTTCTCAGATGACCGAGATATGAAGCATAACGAGTTTATTCATTACGTGTGATCAGGTGATTGGTTTACCTAATCACGTGATAAGGTGACCCCGTTAACTACCCCGTTAAACATTATGGGAATTGTTAAGGGTGCCCAATTAAGGTGTCGTGTCACATAATCACCCAGTCAATTTTGTTAACGAGATACACATATTATGTAACAGATGGAATGTCCAAGAAGCACGGTGATAGAAAGTTTGGTGGAAACGTCTCAGACAAATTACAATGGTGAGGGTTAAAATGGCAAGCTGTGCTGTTATTTGATGCCGATAAACATGTATTTAAAAAACAAAATATAACAAAAATCACTCACTTTAAAATTGGCGAGGGTGCTCCGAAGCCCTTGATATTCCCAGCCTGGACGGTGAAGTAAAAACAAACCCCCTTCTTGAGTCCTGTTATCTGGTGAGATAAGACATGTCCTGCTGATACTATCTCGGTGTGAACATCACTCTGGAAGTTAGGACAACTACTCCGCTGTACTGAAATATTTCAGAGGTTTATCATCTACTGCATCAAAAGAGGAATAACAACTTGGAGTTTTTGGTATCTATTTATTTAGAAAATAAGAATTTACTGGAGAAATTGATATTTTTCATGACCACTGGGTATTTAAAAACGGATGAAAATGATCGACCGTGTAATATTAGACAATAATGTCAGAATATAAATAATAACTTCTCATACTTACACCAGATCAATGTATGTCCATCCTTTTTTGTAATTTAATGGGTTGATGCAGAGAAGTAAAAAAGTATAGATATATCAAACAAGATATAATTTCTCATCAAAACCGGATCATGAATAGGCGAGCTGTATAAAACATAAAAGAGAAAAAGAAAATCTGCAGATCGCAGAGAAACATTCCGAAGAATAGCTGTGGGTAATAGCAGAAGAAGGTGCAATTTTGTTACAGTATAATCATTGTACCTATACCATTTAACCATCATTGATCATAACCATGATAACGCACGTTTATTAAAATTGTAGATGAGGGTCAGTGTGAACTTCTAAATTGTGATAATTGCATGAAAGTAGCAATATAGTGAAGAAAGAGACAATATAAAGGATAGAAAGGAACTACTACTAAAGGTACTATAATTTTGCGATAATTTAAAGGTTTCCCAGTTAAGAGATAGCAAAAGAAAGACTAAAGAGTATCAGCATCATAGTTTTGCTCCATATAACTATATCTAATTGCAGCTTCTTTTCTCCGGAGGAGGCACTGTCTCTCTGAGATGGACTCTCATTTCTGGATTCCAGATTGTAGTTGCGGGGAGACCCACAGCCTTTTTCCGGATAACAACAAGAGAATTACAAGGTGATACTATTCTCCTTGCTTTTAAGGATGCGGGTGACGAGACGTTGGGATTAAGATGAATCATATTTCCTTGTAATCGCTGCCCTCTAGCTGCACGAGGGCTGTTTTGAAATCCCTGAGGAAATGTAAATAAAAAACGGGACCCTGCATTTAATTTCGGAGAAGGCCTTGAAAGAGTGACAAAATTAAACTCAAATTAAGTTGCAGAGGCTTGGACGTTATGTAAGTCGAAATTTTGAATTTGTTGCTGATGTTATTGCCTACCGTAGAAATGGTATGTGTAGTATCGGCGTATCTTCTGCAGGTCAAGATGTTCCAAATATAGCGCCTCAAATTACCGATCTTCAAGATGTATATGATCGGATTGATTGTGCTATTCAATGGGATTGAGTAGACGACGACGAAGCGGCCAATTTCTTTATAATAGGGAGTTTCCTCGTTAAACCATGCTTTGATAATGTTTGCTTTCTCTTCGCTTAAACTTGAGACCAACTGATCAAGCATCAGCAGGCAGAAGGGTACATTGAATACGATGTATGCAACTGTTAGAATGACTATGGTAATAGTTGCTGATCTTTTGGATTTCAGAGCTCCTGCACGGTGCATATTCCCAACTTCAGTATTACCAGAGTCACAGTGGGTTGTATCGGTCTTTAGTTTCACAACTGATATCAAGCAACTGATGACAATTGGAAATAAGGGCAGGATAAAGGGCAGAAATATAAAGAATATGTATATAACTATAAACTCCGTGCCAGAGAACCAGATACTCCAGGCGCATGTGCTATACTCAGGAAAGTAATTATACCGTCCCGAACCACCATGGTAAAGACTGTTGTACCAGCAGTACCACCAAATATATGACAGCAGGAATGAGAAGGTGTCGTTTTGTTAGTGTTAAGAACGGCAGCGAGAGTGAAAGAGTCCGGCAAATACTCATCAGTCCGACTGCAAACACTGACAATCTTATCACAATCTGCCATAGATAGCCCCATATGTTACACAGGAAGCTGACAGAGAAGAAAAGCTCTTTTCCATTTGATAAGTTAGTCATTGCGATGGGTAGACAGAGCAAACATATCATCAGATCTACTATATTCATGAATATATAAAGGAGGGAAACGTGTGTCGGTCTTTTCGAGTTTTTCGATGAAAAGTAAGCAGCGGAGAAGAGGTTTGCTGGAACACCGAGGCAGAAGCAGAAGACTGATATGGAACTAAATGGCCAGTAAACGTAAGGATATTCAGTTGTTGTCGAGGTGCTTGTTGTCCCGGCCCTTGTTGTCCCGGTGGAATTTAATGTCATTTTTCGATCCTTGATTGATAGTTATGATTTAAATTATTGTACCATTTACCCATCATAAGGGGTCGTTCACATATTACGTAATCAGCCGAGGGGTGAGGGGGGTTTCCAAATGCTTACGGTTGATTACGGCGGGGGGGGGGGGAAGGGTTTCGGCCGTTGATTACGTAATCAAATTTTCTTTTTTACCCTCTAGAATAATAACAATTTGACAATATTTTAATTCAAATTCCACTCAATTTCACTCTGATAGTGATGAAATTTAGAAATTGATCGAATATCCGGCTATAATAGTAAGTATTTTAGAAGTTGCTTGGCCGGATATCATAACAATGATTTCGGCTCATCATGATAGCATGATCATGAAACGTAGCGAAAAGTTTTTTCTAGAAAAAAAAGACAAGGTGGGGGGGGGGGGGGGGTCAGGCCATGATTACGTAATATTGCTGTCAGGAGGGGGGGGGGGGGTTGGGTCTTGATTACGGTTGATTACGGAAGGGGGGAGGGGGGTAAAATTTGCTAAAATATTGATTACGTAATATGTGAACGACCCCTAACCATCATACCATGATAACGCACGTTTATTAAAATTGTACATGAGGGTCAGTGTGAACTTTTAAATTATGAAAATTGCATGAAAGTAGCAAGATAGTGAATAAAGAGACAATATAAAGGAAAGAAAGGAACTACTACTAAAGGTACTATAATTTTGTGATAATTTAAAGGTTTCACAGTTAAGAGATAGCAAAAGAAAGACTAAAGAGTATCAGCATTATAGTTTTGCTCCATATATCTAATTGCAGCTTCTTTTCTTCGGAGGAGGCACTGTCTCTCTGAGATGCACTCTAACACTTTCTGGACTCCAGCTCCAGATTGTAGTTGCGGGGAGACTCACAGCCTTTTTCCGGATAGGAACAGGAGAATTACAAGGTGATGTTATTCTCCTTGCTTTTAAAGATGCGGGTGACGAGACGTTGGGATTAAGATGAATCGTATTTCCTTGTAATCGCTGCCCTCTAGCTGCACGAGGGCTGTTTTGAAATCCCTGAGGAAATATAAATAAAAGAACGGGACGCTGCGTTTAATTTCGGAGAAGGCCTTGAAAGAGTGACAAAATTAAACTCAAATTAAGTTGCAGAGGCTTGGACATTTTAGAAGTCGAAATTTTGAATTTGTGCCTGATGGTGTTGCCTACCGTAGAAATGGTATGTGAAGTATCGGCGTATCTTCTGCAGGTCAAGATGTTCCAAATATAGCGCCTCAAATTTCCGATCCTCAATATGTATATGATCGGATTGATTGTGCTATTCAATGGGATTGAGTAGACGACGACGAAGCGGCCAATTTCTTTATAATAGGGAGTTTCCTCGTTAAACCATGCTAGGATAATGTTTGCTTTCCTTTCACTTAAACTGTAGACCAGTTGATCAAGCATCAACAAGCAGTAGGGTACATTGAATACGATGTATGCGACTGTTAGAATGACTATGGTGATAGTTGCTGATCTTTTGGATTTCAGAGCTCCTGCACGGTGCATATTCCCAACTTCAGTATTACCAGAATCACAGTGGGTTGTATCGGTCTTCAGTTTCACAACCGATATCAAGCAACTGATGACAATTGGAAATAATGGTAGGATAAAGGGCAGACAGATTAAGAACATGAGCATAACTTTATACTCCGTAGACTCAAACTTGAACCAGATACTCCAGGCGCATGTGCTATACTCAGGATAATACCAATATCTGTACCCGAACCACCATGGTATAGACTGTTGTACCAGCAGTACCACCAAATATATGACAACAGGAATGAGAAGGTGTCGTTTTGTAAGTGTTAAGAACGGCAGCGAGAGGGAAATAGTCCGGCAAATACTCATCAGTCCGACTGCAAACACTGACAATCTTATCAGAATCTGCCATAGATAGCCCCATATGTTACACAGGAAGCTGACAGAGAAGAAAAGTTGTTTTCCATTTGATAAGTTAGTCATTGCCATGGGTAGACAGAGCAAACATATCATCAGATCTACTATATTCATGAACATATAAAGGAGGGAAACGTGTGTCGGTCTTTTCGTGTTTTTCGATAAAAAGTAAGCAGCGGAGAAGAGGTTTGCTGGAACACCGAGGCAGAAGAAGAAGACTGATATGAAACTAAATGGCCAGTAAACGTAAGGATATTCAGTTGTTGTCCCGGTGTAGGGACTAGAGGTGGTCTGATCTGTCATTTTCCGATCCTTGATTGATAGTAATGATTAATGAAGAATTGTTGGAAAGGTGCGGTTTAAAATTAAATGTTACCATCATTGCCATCTTTAAGGTCATAACCTTATGCTATAGAAAATAACAGAAAACTGAAAGCCATGGAAATTATGACCAGTTTTTATTTAAAGTTTAACTTTATTTAAATATCTCAAAATATTTGTTCACGATCTAATCACCATGTGACTCCGAAACCCAAGGGCCTTATTGTCAGTCTCCAGGCATCTGTAGCTACTACAGGCGGAGAAGCGCAAATTACCCGAATTTGATTTGGCAATTTTTACGAACTTTTATTCATCGAATATTAATTTTGGTCCATAAAAAAGGGCAATGACTATGAGATGCAATTGAAATATTTGTTGGTCGCATTTTAGCTCGATTAAACATCGATTTTAACGATCTACGAATTACTGTACGGAATAAATAACTCGCAAAGATGAACGAATAATATCCTACAGATACCTCAGCGCAGTATTTGAGCCTATCACTCCGCGGTGAAAGAATACTATAGACTCAGATTGAAAATTATATCATTACAAAGCAACATTAATTATCCCTTTAGAAATGGAACGTTTTCTTTGTCTTACTAATACT